AAAAATAAAAAACACGAAGGCGCTTTATCTTAAACGTGCGTCTTCTGTAGGTCGCTTTATAATTTTAGTGAAACGCACCTTGAGAAGATAACGGGGGAAAAACGAAACCCTAAAATTTTGAAAACCCGCTTTCTTTTCTTCATCTTCACAATCAACTCTCCCCTCTTGTTTCTCTATTGTGAGAAGTGACGGAAAGAAGGGAGACTAGGATGGATCTGCCGATGATGATGAACGGAGGTGCTTTCCGATCAATTTCGATGGTTGTTTCCCTCTTGCCCTAATCACGTCGTCGCCGCGAATCACACACCGCCAGGCAGTGGAAGATGATGATGAAGTTTTTCGTTGTTGTATGCCGCCCTCCCTCTCTGTCTCTAACTATCTCTGACCTTTCTTTTATGAAGATGATGAAGTTCATCTTCCTTCATCTTCTCGGTTTTCCATCAGGTAATTATCGGGTTCGCTCGTGATGCTAAACTTCATAAAGAGCTCTTCTCCGGTCTTAGCATGTTCCCGGGTAGCTGAACTTCTTTCATCTCTCGGGATCGATCTCAACCTCCTATTCACCCCTCTACAACCTTACTTGTAAGTCCACACCACACCTGTTCTTATCTTGTTCTGGAAAATCAAGAAACATTCGAAAAACCTTAGGGTTTCGCTTCTTATCATCGGTGAGGTCGTGTTTCTTCTTATCAGTACTAGGGTCTCGTTTCTTATCATCAGTGAGTCCTCGTTTCTTCTTATCAGTATCAGATTTCATCTTGGTGAGGGGCCAGATTGACGAGACCTGTGAGACTTCTGAGATTGCTCCATGTTCCCTGTGTGGCTGTGTGAGGATACAGAGATTAATGGCTGCGATAGGGGTTAGCAAAGCTCCTTATTTCTTCTCTACCAGGTATAATAACTGTTGCTTAATGGTTACTTTTTCCTATTCATCACTGTTAGGGCTTATTTCTTCTCTGGGACAAATTTGATTCTTTTTCTGATTTGGGAACCAAAACACGCTAATGGTCTGATTCCTTAACCTATGAACATTCACATTTATCTGTTATAGTGACATCAAAATCTTGTGTTTGGATCCAATAACAAGCAAATATACATGCTGCTTATTTAAGTTCAAATATGGAGTGGACCAAACAACAAACAGATTCTCAGAGATCTTTGTTCAGGGCATTGCGTTACATTCAATTTACACACTTCAATGTGTTTCCCAGTGCACTATATACATATCTATCTCAGAGGTGATATTTTGTCATTATATCTTTCCTTGCTATTGTAATTATTTGAACTTATTGATGCTTGCTTTGATATATCTTTGATAAAGACGTGAATGCCCTCCTCACGAGAATTCCATCCAACTAAGCAAACCCTTAAGTTTCTTTCTTCAATGATCCCAAATATTAGATATTTCACAACTTTTGATAACTTCACCTGATCATCATCCTTTCTGCTTTTATTTCTTATTCTTGAATGGACTTCAATTTCAATTTTTTTCTCTTGCTATTGCAGACAGGTCACTCAACTTACCCTGGTTCACCTTTGGGACCAGATACTTATCATGAATATCGAATCTTACTTGTCCAAGATTACGAGTAACTAAAGAAGAAAAACAATCAAAACTCTATATACAAAAATAGCAACAAACCTAAGGACAATCCATTGATTGGAAATTTTGGAGATCTTATTTGCAAAAATCTTCAGGCCAATGTGTCACAATTCAAATGCTTGGGAGACTTGCAGGTTGCTTCTTCACACAACTGATTTTTTTTTACCATTTATAAAACAGTAAAAATCATTTTCCGTTTTTTACCAGATTACAGCGGAAAGTACATTGTTCTTCATTGTTATTAACTTTCAGGTAATTAATTATATATTATATATTATATAAACATGTACAGATTAGGATTATTTAGTAATTACTATTTTTGTGATCATTTAATTAATTAGGTGCCAGGTTCAACACATTATAATCTTGCTTCCTATTTTATAGCTTGAAGTTTGAAGGATATTATTGTAATTTGGTGGTATATTAGGTGTTGTGTTTGCCTGAGAGTGAGAGTTAGCAGAGGTAGGAACCGCTGTGAAGCTTTCCGCTCTAAAACCCAAACTGGAGGTGCCGCCTTCAGCCGCTTGCTTGTTCTGGTGCCCATTGTTTCTTGTTCTAAAAGATTTGGATTTGTTTCTTGTTCTGGTGCCTTCAGCCGCTTGCTTGTTTAAGGTTATTAGCTAAAGTATGCCCTCAGTCTTATCATGTTAATTTATGACAAATACTTTTTCTTTTTGTTGTAAACTTCATGAAGTTATGAATTACTGTTCTTGACAGATGGGAAGAGAGACTCGAAGATCTCTTTAATGGTTGACCCTTTGACATGCTTGATGCTACCCTCACAAACATCGTTCAAAAGTTCCCACTAGACATTAAGGTAATACCCTAAGGACTCGAGAACAAGATAATTGAACTACAAGTGTCGGTTGACCGCAAACCCACTAGCCGTTGACCAACACAACTGTAAGTGCAGAAGTCAACCATGAATTTTCTAGCAATGAAAACACGATTACAATTGGTAGCAATATTTTACATAAAAAATGCAGAGTCTTGACAAAACTTTAAAACAATATTTTATATAAAAAATGAACTTGTGTTAAAATTATGTTTATTTATTATATGCAGAGTCTTGACAAAAGTTGTTTAGGTCCTTTGAGGAAAGCTTATTGCAGCTCTCTTAATCTACTTTTAAAGCATGAGGTATGTTCAACTAATTAGTATAATTCATACGTACAAATATAAATAAATATTAAAAAAGTTAAAAATTCTTTTTTTTAAGCACGTGAATTTGCTAATGAGCTTAGAGCAATTACAAAAGCATCAAGAAATCCAACTGTTTTGCTCGAAGGTTCAACTGGTTCAAATCAAAATGTAAACAATGCAGATACTTCCACTGCTCTGAATAATATGCCAAAATGCTCACCATATTTATCCTACTCCTTCTTGATGAGGTTATTAATATAATTCTTCATTTTTTTGGTTTATTTTAGATGAAAGTTTCTAAATCGATTTATTTCCTTCACATAGTTCCTTTTTTTCACACTTCATGTGCTTTGGAGTTTCTGCACTCGCTCAACCAGGAAGTCTTGCAAATGGCAATAAAACAAACGAGGACGATTTAGGCATTATGGACATCGATGATAATGATGACGACGACAACAACAACAACAAAAGTAAAAATAAAAAACAAAAAATTTCAATTCATTTCCATTTTCCACCTAATTTATATACTGTTGTTGACCTTTCATTTCCATTTTCCACCTAATTTAACACTTCAGTTCAAGATTTCGTAACTTACCTGAGATCAGCTATTGACATTCTGTTTCTTTGTGGACTAGTCCAGCAGGACTCATCACATGCATGACACAAGGAACTACTAGTCTTCTTAGTAATACAATTTATGCCATAAGTGATGCTGCCACCCAAGTCAGTTGAGCAGCACATAAGGTACATTTAATTCCTATTTTTATTTTTAAGTCCGTGGTGTTAAATTAAACTAAGATGTTGCCCAGGGTATTGTTGCTTTTACAATGGACGACCCATCTGCATCAGCTTTTTATCTATTTATTTTTTCTATTATCATATCTTGTCACTTCTCAATGACATTATGTGTTTGTTATAGGATCAAGTTCCAGAGAATGATGTCAAAGGAATTTCTAAGGATAAACCACTGTATGATCTATTTGTTTCTTTACTTTAATGAGTAAAATTAAAGTTCTAAGGATATTCATATTCCCCTTCATTCTTGATTTATATATCTACATGGTATAATTATTTTTAATTCTTCCTTTTGCAAAAAAGTATGCTTTTGATCAGTAGGAGGCTTTGTTCTCCTTGAAGAAGAGTGGCAAAATTGATGAATTATTATTACAAGTAAAGCCAGCTGTCCATTGAGTATTGCATGGAGGTAATTACTATAATGCCCTTTTCTTATATTTACTTTGAAAATGTTAATTCTTACCTTTTGTCTATGTAGGATCCACCGGGAGCAGGAAAAACACAAACAATTCTTGGGCTTCTTAGTGCCATATTACAAACCAGCTGAGTATATAAGTCTCTTAGTAACTTATGCAGGTAACAATATTGTTCATAGCTGGGCTGTTAATGTTCCTATTTGTTTTCATTTATGCAGGTAACAATCTTGTTGAAAGGACTTATGAATCAGATATTAATGGTAACAAGTTTAACACTCGAGTCCATACGATTAGATGTTAATGGTAACAAGTTTAACACATGTGTCTTTGTTATACATACAAATTAAATGCAATGATTGTATTTTTTGTATATGGTATTTTATTTTATATTATGCAATGGATTGTATTTTTGTATATGGTATTTTATTTCTATTATGAGAGATTAAATGCAAATTTAATTTATAAATTAATAAATATATAAATATATTTTTTAAAAAAAATTAAAATTACGATACGCAAAAATGTGTGTCATCTTCATTTATGACATGACTTTCTTGACTGGTGCTTCCTTGATACGCATTGCGTGTCATAAACACGCGCGTCGTAAGGTTACGACACGCAAATGCGTGTCGTCTTCCTTTATGATAGGGCCTTCCTTGATACGCAATGCGTGTCATAACGCGCGTCGTAAATGCGCGTCGTCTATAGACGATGCGCAAAAGCTCGTCATCTCTCTTTATGACAGGGCCTTCCTTGACGCGCATTTGCGCGTCGTCTGAGTGTTTTACAATGCGTAATGAGCGTCGTAAAAGGCCTTTTTCTAGTAGTGTCAATTAAAGCACATGCGGTATTCAAGAATGATCTCCCCAAAATAATTGGAATTTCGGGGTCTTCTTCCATATCAACTACCACGAAGTCTACTGGAAAAATAAACTTGTCAACTTTTATAAGGAGATCCTCACAAATGCCTTGTGGATGAATTATCGTCTTGTCCACCAAATGGATCTTCATATTACCGGCCTTGGTTCTGGTAAATTCAACTTCTTAAAGAATGAAAAAGGCATCAGATTGATGCTTGCCCTCGAATCAGCTAATGCTTGGGTGAAAGCTTCATTACCAAATTGGCACGGAATCACAATATTTCCTGGATCACCCTTCTTTTCAGGTAGCTCACTCATCAATACTTTCGCGACATCAGCCAAATCTTTCCTAGCAGCAAAAAGGCCCTTAAGCAAGTTGAAGTATTTAGGTGTTTGGAGCATTGTTTCCACAAATGGCACATTAACTTGTAAAGCGTTAACATATTTCATGAAGGTTCTGTATGCTTCTACTTTTTCTGTAGGCATGGCTTTGATTGGGTATGGCAGAGGAGGATTATAAGGCTTCAAAGAACTGACAGGTTTATCATTTGCGCATGGACTCGTCGAGTCCAATGGAGTGACTCGGCGAGTCAGATCGGGTTTTGTTGGGTCCGATTCTTCTACCTTTTCTGCCTTCTTCTTGGAGATTCTTAGTGCTTCTGTAAATGTTCCTTCACTGCTGGAGGTTATTACACTTACATTCTCCATTCTTGGATTGGGTTCGGTGTTACTCGGAAGTTGGCCCGGTCTTCTTTCATTCACTTGATGTGCAAGCTGTCCCAGCTGTTTCTCAATGTTGAGAATGGATGCCTGCTGATTCCTCAACATATTTCTGGTCTCTTGCATTGCTACATCGTGATCATTGTGTCTTTTCTCGGACGCGGTTATGAACCTTGTGAGCATATCTTCTAAATTGGCCTTCTTTTCCATCACCGGCTCTTCCTTTTGATAGGATCCCCTCTCATTCTGCCTGTATTTCTCCTCCTTAGCCTTTTTATATTCTTCGTATGGGAGCCATTCCTTCTTCGGTTTCCTCCAATCTTCGTCGTATCTATCGCCACTAGAGTAAAACACTTGAGCCTTTTTATTTCCGTTTTCGTCTCGATCACAATCCTTGGTGAGGTAGGGCCCGCTACAATTTTCGCATCCTACCCTAATAGCATGGATTGTTTGATCCATTTTTGTCATTCTTCGATCTAGGCTATCGAGCTTAGCTATTACCGCCGCCATGCTATCATTCACCGAGTTCACTGCTCCCCGACTTACTTCATTCCTCGGATTGTGGTATTCTCTAGAATGCTTAGAGAATTCTTCAATTAACTCCTTGATTTCCAAAGGCGGCTTTCTGGTGAGTAGGCCTTGTGAATCGAGCAGTTGCCTTGTGGTGACATTAACTCCATCATAAAAAATGGAGACCTTATGTTGGCTATTAAGGTCATGGTGTGGGAATTTCTAAGTAGGCTCTTGTACCTTTCCCAAGCTTCATAAAGAGATTCTCCGGGTTGTTGCTTGAAGTTGGCAATGGCTTTCTTTAGCTTGGCTATCTTGGAAGGCGGGCAGAAATGGTCTATGAACTCTTCTTTCATCTTGGCCCATGTGGTGACCGATCCGGGAGGAAGTGACTTTAACCAATCTTTTGCAGCTCCTTTAAATGTGACAGGAAGCATGCGAAGAAGCTGGATCTCGCGAGGCACATTTGGTACATTGAAGTAATCAGCCACATCATTTACTTCATCCAAGTGCTTATAGGCGTCTTCGTGATCTTTCCCGTAAAAAGGAATCTCCTTGAGTTGAGCGAGAATATGGCCCTTTAGCTCGAAAGTAACGGTTGCGGGAATTGCGGGTTGCACAAGTCCCGGGCCGGTGTCATCACGCATCCTCTTCTTCCATTCCCCCATGGGGATTTCATCGATATTAGCCATAGCGGTAGCTAAATCGTCTTCAAACTCGGATGTGTGCTCGTATGTGGGTTCGTCTTCTTCCTCGGTCTCGTACTCGGTGTCTTTTTGAATTGGGTCTTCGATTGTCAACGAGGCACTGGATGCTCCTGATTTGTTGCTCCTTTTCTTGCTGAAAACGGACTTGAGGTTTTTGAGTGGTGAGTTCTTTGAAGAAGCGGATTCTCCAACGGTTTTGCCTTTGCTCCTTCTTAGTGCGGTTTCCGGATCTTCAAGAGGGGAACCAGAGGTGTATCAGATCCTCGGGTCATGAAACAACTGCAAACAAAACAGAAAACGCGTAAAAAGAAAAAAATATATAATAAAATTAAAGCTGATTTAGCGTCGTACTCGCCGAGTCTGGGCGAATGCACTCGGCGAGTCCAAGGTAAAATCAGTTTTTTTTTTATTTTTTTTATTTTTTATTTTTTTTATACTACCTAATAAATTAAACAGAAATTAACTTTGTGTAAGATAAATCTCACACAAATGATCGATTGAATTAGATTTTTAATGCTAATTTTAGAACCGTTCCCCGGCAACAGCGCCAAAAACTTGATGTGCGTAAACTCACTTAGTTTTAATCCTACTTTTAGTTGTAAAATAAACACACAAAGGCAGTGTACCTATCAATTGTGGAATAGTTTAAGCAAGTAGGGTATCGAACACAGGGAACGGCAAATTAAAAATAAAAACTAATTCTATCTAAATTAATTAATAAGTAGAGGGTTTTCTCTAGTTTTACAAGACTAGAAACTTACTAACTATTACTTAATCTAAAAACTAGAAAAACAGAGAATTAACTAGATTCAATAATGCGAAGGAACTTCTGTTTAGTTCAACTCAATTGATCCTATGGTTGATTTCAAGGTAATAGTGCAATGGATTAATTCTTTTGTTGGTTACTGATTCAAGTGATTAGGTTCGTTCACTACACTAATCCTTAGCAAATAAACTAACTTAAACAGTGATCAGTTGTCTAATTCAATTTAGTTCACTAGATTAATTATTCGGATTACTTTAGACTCACAATAGTTAATCAATTTGGTTTTAATTAACTTCTTGTTGATGGTCATCACACAAGCTTGCACATAAATTTACTTAATTTTCTTATTAATCCTAGTTTCATGTTCATTAATCCTAGACATATAGCAAAGTAGTCACAAGATATATGAGGTTGATAATCAAACGATGTTCATGCTATTTAATCATCTTCCTATTAACAGAAAATTAATTATCATTCACACACAAGGTTCTTTAGCAAGCTAAAAATAACAAATAGATCACCAACATTAATTAATCCTACCAATAATCAAACCATGTCTCAATTTTGTATCCCCAAACAGAAGTTTAAGAGTTTTAGCTCATGATTGAAGTAAATAACAACACAAAAACGAATTCTAATTGTCTAACCATAGTGGAAAACAAAAGATTAAGTATAATGATGGAATTTGCCTCAAATCTCCTTCGGAGATTAAATTGTAGCTTCTATCTTCGTCTTCTAGGGTTTCTCTAGCCTCTGAATCACAGCTAATTATCTATATATTTGCGTATCGACTCGTCGAGTCAGGTGGCGACTCGTCGAGTCCGTCTCACAATATCCGTATGCGATAAGCATCTGGGTTCCCGAGTCATTATCCTCACTTGGACTCGCCGAGTAGGTGCTATTTTTGGTGTTTTTCTTCTTTATCCAATTCCCGAGCTCCTAACCGCTTCTCCTGCTTCCTTTTGCTTCCGAGCTTCATTTTTGGACTGAAAATACAATTTAAACACTTTTAAGTACCTTTTGTCCATGAAATGCAATAATTTAGCTAATAAATGAATAAAAATCTATACTTAATACAAACTAAATATGCACA